CACCTCCATCTCCCCGAGGAGGAGGACAGGGATCCGGGGCTGCACCGGGACTCCAGGCTCCGGGCACACTCCGCAGTGACCAGCCCGAGGGGAGGGCGCAACCTGACTTCAAACGGGGCTCCTGTCTGGAAGGTAGTGGAATTCTTCATCTTTTGGGGGTAGGGGTCACGACCCTTCTGAGTCTCCGATGAAAGCTGTGGATGTTTTTGCCGGGAAAATGCACATATGCACATACACAAGTTCTTTCAAGAGGTGGGGTAGGGGCATCTTGGGGAGGGACGTTCTAAGGAACTTCTCACAGTTCTCTTGGCGGTCCCCTGCCCCCTTTGTTTTAATGAGATTACGCGAATGTAGAATGGTGTAGTGAACCGCTAGATACCCATCACCCAGCTTCAGCCATTATCAAGACGCCTTTCATCTCCTCCCCTTCTTTTTTTGCTAACGTATTTTAAAACAAATTTTAAACAGCCTGTCATTTTACCCCCACATACTTCAGCCTGCAACACATGGGCATTTTCTTACATAATTTGCCATTGTCACATCTAATAAAATTAACACAAACTCCTGGGTATTATCTAGCACCCACCACTCCCAGACTGGCAAGCATTTCACCAAAACCCAAGTGGAGTAGGACGGGTGGGCAGTTGAGGGGCCATGAGTGAGCTGGGAGTGGGGAGCAAGGCTGAGGGATCGGAGGAAGAACTCCTGAAGGGCAGGGCTTTGGGTTGGAAAGGCTGCGGAAGGAGGGTCAGAGCCAAGGAGCTGCTCAGAAGCCCCCTATGGGGTTTGACCTCTGACAATTCTTGGGGCCCCCAAATGTGCAGGGACATGTGGCCCCCAGAAGTAGACAGAATGAGACAGAGTCTTATCTATGCAGCCTGTCTCTCCCCTGAGTCACCACATGGGCCCCGGGCAGGTGGGCATATCTCAGGGCTAGACAAACGTGTCAGGATCAGGACACCATTGACGGGGCCCAGTGAAAAGTGACAATGTGAGGTCCCACATTCAAAAATTATTAAGGGGGAGAGATCAACCAAAGGACTTGTATGCAGGCATATAAGCCTAACCAATGGACACAGACACCAGGGCGGTGAGGGCATGAGTGTGGGCGGGGAGGCAATGGGGGGATAGGACACATATGTAATACCTTAATCAATAAAGAAAAAAGTATTATTTACAACAAAGAAAGAAAATTATTAAGAATTTCAAGGTGGCAACAGCAGAGAGTTCAACCAAGCACAGGGCCCTTCTAAACACGGGGCCCTGTATGACTGCACAGGTGACCCACCCATGAAGCTGGCCCCAGTCAGGATCTTGTTCTTCTGGGGCTCTGATGGACACAGAGCAGGGACAGCAGGCCCAGGCTCCCTTTCCTGCTCAGAGGAACTCTTCCCATTATACAGGTGGAAACACTGAGGTCTAGAAAGGAAAGAGGCTGTGCCTAATTTTATGTGCTAAAACGAAGGTTGCTCTTGGAGAGGGGAGCAGAGACTGCCTGGGTTGTGACTGACATGGATGCAGACATGGCTGCCTCAGCAGGGAAGGCCCCCTTCCTGTGTCAGGAATTGGATGTGTTGGTAACATTTTACTCCGAAGTCATGTAAAATCTTTCACAGGGTCAGTGAGAAACTGGAAAGGTACAGAGAAAGGAGGACTGGGCTTTCCTCTCTGATCTGAGGTAACTGGGACTGCTCCGGCTGGAGGAAGAGAAAGCCTGGAGTGGGACTTGAAGGTCTGAGTGTGGGGAATGGGATGGGGCAGAACTGGGACCTAAGAAAGAAGGAAGGAAGGAAAGAAAGAAAGAAAGAAAGAAAGAAAGAAAGAAAGAAAGAAAGAAAGAAAGAAAGAAAGAAAGAAGTGGAAGAAAGTGAAAGATAGGAAGGAAGACAGGAAGAAGTTGAAGAAGATACAAATTAATAAAAGCATATATGGTGTTCAAAGATAGGAAGAATTAACAACGTTCAAATGTCCAATGACATAATTCAGAGAACTACAACAAATATCACAAAAATTTATATGGAAGTACAAAAAAAAAATCTTATTAAGGGGGAGAGATCAACCAAAGGACTTGTATGCAGGCATATAAGCCTAACCAATGGACACAGACACCAGGGCGGTGAGGGCATGAGTGTGGGCGGGGAGGCAATGGGGGGATAGGACACATATGTAATACCTTAATCAATAAAGAAAAAAGTATTATTTACAACAAAGAAAGAAAATTATTAAGAATTTCAAGGTGGCAACAGCAGAGAGTTCAACCAAGCACAGGGCCCTTCTAAACACGGGGCCCTGTATGACTGCACAGGTGACCC